TTTGGAGAATGCATATTCCAAATTACAGTCAAATTGTAAGTCCTCTCTACCAAGTTACCTGGAAGAAGAATGATTTTAAATGGGGTCCTGAACAACAACAAGCTTTTGAACAAATTAAGTGGGAGATTGTTCACGCAGTAGCCCTTGGGCCAGTCCGGACAGGACAAGATGTTAAAAATGTGCTCTATACTGCAGCTGGGGAGAATGGCCTTACATGGAGCCTTTGGCAGAAAGCACCTGGAGAGGCCCGAGGCCAGCCCCTGGGGTTTTGGAGTTGGGGATACAGAGGATCCTCCGAGGCCCGCTATACTGCAACTGAAAAAGAGATATTGGCAGCATATGAAGGAGTTTGAGCTGCCTCAGAAGTGGCTGGTACTGATACACAGCTCCGCTTAGCACCCCCACTGCCAGTGCTAGGCTAGATGTTCAAAGGGTCTCCTCTACGCATCATGCAACTGACGCCACGTGGAGTAAGTGGGCTGCACTGATCACACAACAGGCTTGTATAGGAAACCCCAATCACCCAGGAAATTTGGAAGTGATCACAGACTGGTTAGCACGCAAAGATTTTGGAATGTCACCAGAGGAGGAGGTGATGCATGCTGAAGAGGCCCCACTGTATAATAAACTGTCATAAAATGAGAGACAATATGCCCTGTTCACTGATAGGTCCTATCACATTGTGGGAAAGCATCGGAGGTGGAAGGCTGCTATATGGAGTCCTACATGACTAGTCGCAGAAACCGCTGAAGGAACCGAGAAGGTGAATCAAGTCAATTTGCAGAAGTGAAAGCCATCCAGCTAGCTTTAGACATGGCTGAGAGAGAAGTGTCCAGTGCTCTACCTCTATACTGACTCATGGATGGTGGCAAATGCCCCATGGGGGTGGCTACAGCAATGGAAGAAGAGCAACTGGCAGTGCAGAGGTAAACCCATTTGGGCTGCCGCACTGTGGCAAGATGTTGCTGTTTGGCTGGAGAAGCTGGTAGTAAAAGTACATCATGTAGATGCTCATGTACCCAAGAGTCAGGCCACTGAAAAAGATCAAAACGGATCAGCAGGTAGGTCAGGCCACCAAGACTGAAGTGTCTCAGGTGGATCTGGACTGGCAACATAAGGTGAGCTATTTATAGCTCGGTAGGTCCACAATAGCTCAGGTCATCAGGGAAGAGATGCAACATATAGATGGGCTCGTGGTCGAGGGGTGGACTTGACCATGGACATAATTGTGCAGGTTATCCATGAATGTGAAACATGTGCTGCAATTAAGCAAGCCAAGCAGCAAAAACCCCTGTGGTATGGAGGGCAATGGCTGAAATATATATATATGGGGAGGCCTGGCAGGTTGACTATATCACACTCTCACAAACCCACCAAGGCAAGTGTCATGTGCTTACAATGGTGGAAACAACCACCGGATGGCTGGAAATATACCCTGTGTCCCATGCCACTGCCCAGCATGGCCTTGAAGAACAGTTTTATGGCAACACGGCAGCCCAGAAAGAATTGAGTCGGACAACGGGACTCACTTCCAAAACAACCTCATAGATACCTGGGCCAAAGACCATGGCACTGAGTGGGTATATCACATCCTCTATCCCGCACCAGCCTCTGGAAAAATCAAACAATACAATGGACTGCTAAAAACTACACTGAGAGCAATGGGGGGGTGGGACTTTCAAACATTGGGATACACATTTAACAAAAGCCACCTGGTTAGTTAATACTAGAAGATCTGCCAATTGGGCTGGCCCTGCCCAACCAAGACTTCCACATACTGTAGAAGGACATGAAGTTCCTGTAGTGCGCATGAAGAGTATTTTAGGGAAGACAGGCTGGGTTAGTCCAGCCTCAGGCAGAGGCAAACCCATCCAAGGGACTGCTTTTTCTCAAGGACCTAGGTGCACTTGGTGGGTGAGGCAGAAGGATAGGGAAGTTTGATGTGTACCTCAGGGAGATTTGATTTTGGGAGAGAATAGCCAGTGAATTAGGCTGTATGATGTTAACTGCTAAATAACCTGCCACTCTATGTCATTACATCTATAGTGGCTATATACCATATCAAGGTAAGAAGTACCTGAACGACTGAAGGATGGACTTTGAAATTGAGCCAAGTGCAACAGTGATGGAACTTGAACTGGTGCCCAGCGATTTCCTCGAGATCGACATCTTCAACCCACAGACTATGGGCATGGGTTGCACCAAATAAACCAGCTGCAAGCTCCAGAGGCAGCATGCAACAATCCAATAACACACACCGTTTATCCTACCCTGAAGGACTGTTACAACAGATGGAGCCCCGAAGTCATGGATTAAATAAAATTGATGGACACATTAGAGGGATGGCCCATAGACTAAGGGAATGCTATTTGTGTGGGGGGGTGTACATATACGTGTGTGTGTGTATATATATATATATGTATATATCAAAGACAAGGAAAGTGGTGGTGATTAATTGGAAAATGTAGGATCTGGGCATGATGTAGATGGTATAAAATAAGGCGTGGATAATGTCTTCGGTTCAGTTGGGATAGAGTTAATTTTCACAGGAACCTGGGAGGGGCACAGGCAGGACAGCTGACTTGAACTAGCCAAGGGGCTATTCCATACCATGTGACATCATGCTCAGTATATAAATGGGGAGCGGGCTGGGGAGAGCTTTCTGCTCTCAGTTGAGGAAGTGGCGGAACGCCGTGTTCCGGGTGGTGAGCAGTTGCACTGTGCATCACTTGTTCTGTGTATTCTTTTATTAGCACCATTGTTGTTGCTGTAACTTCTCTTTTTGTGTTGTCCCAGTAAACTGTCCTTATCTCAACCCACGAGGTTCCGTTTTTTTTCTTTTCTCCTTTCTGATTCTCCTCCCCATCCCGCCGCAGGGGGGCAGGGAGGAGTGAGTGAGCAACTGTGAGCGAGCAACTGCGTAGTCCTTTGTTACCGGCTGGGCTGAAACCATGACAGCAGCCCATTCACAGCCCCACCAACACTGGGGCTCTGTGGTTGCTCTAGCACTTAATCCTATCCCACACCATGACCATAAACCTAGCCAGAGCTCACCTTCGAAATGGACACCTGCCAGCTAGGACTCTCACACAGAACAGGCCAGGACTGAAAGCTTTTGACAGCCCTTACCTTCCCTTGGCAGCCTCTTTGCTGCCCCATTAACACTGGGGCTCGGTGGTTGCTCTACCCTCAGACCCTCACACCTGCACCTCAGCCTCACCCAGAGCCCAGCTCCAAACCAGACACCCACCACCTAGGGGTCTGAACAGAAGTAGCCAGGACTGAAAGGTATTGGTGGCCCTTACCTTCCCTTGACAGCCCCTTCACAGTCAAACAAACCAGAGCTCTGTGTTTGCTCTTGCATGTAACCATCACCTACACCATGATTACAACCCTATGCAGAGAACAGATCCATCACAAACTCTGCCAGCAATGGCTCCCTGTAAAAAGTGGCCAGGTCTGAAAGCTTTGGCAGCCCTCACCTTCCTTTGGCAGCTGCTTCACAGCCCCACAAATACTGGGGCTGTGCGCTGTGTCTTGCACCTATGGCTAATTCTTACCCTTGCCCTAACCCGTAACAGAC